CTCGCGCAGTCCGAAAAATGGAAATCTTATAAATTTAGTAGTTTGAAAAATGTTTCATATATTTTGCCTACTAAGCGTTTTTCATCGATATGTAATATGGGAGGGCTAATGAAATGGTTGATCCAGATGACCACCGTCCAATAAAACAGATCCAAACTAGTAGCGACAGGACTGCGCGTTGGCAAAGGCTATCTGTCTGTGCCAAAACGGCTTGCGCTAAACTGCCTCGCACAAACGTCTCTTTCCGTGACAATGTGTTTCAGAAAGTCACAGACGAGTAAACAATGCATAAGTTCCTTATTTTTATTCATTCTATGCCAAAAACTGACGTTTTAGACCAAACCGGGTCCGTATTCAGAATTACAGTGAAATTTCTAAGGCATTATTGTCTTGCAAGACAGGTTGAAAAGGTATTCAGAACTGAAAAGTTTGGTCAGAAACGTCAGTTTTATGGTTAAAAAGTAATATAAGTAAAGAATTTATGCGTTGTTTTCCTGCTCGTGACGCTTAAAACACACTATACTAAAAACAAGTATAAATCTAAAAAAACGCATAAATTTAAACTTACAGCAAAACGAAGTCGAAGATTTCTCCAAGGCTTAATTTTCGACCAGCAACGCTTTCGAGATTCTGGGAATGTCCTAAGTAGGCGCATGCGTCAAGCAGTTTATTAAACAGCCTTTCGGCCGATTCATCGACGTCTTTCCGGACCTATAATCAAAGGAAGGTAAAAGTACCAGACAGTTCCGTTGCTAACATACTAAAGACATTATTACGTGCCAGCTTTCGATCAATTATTATCGCGATATACATGTACCTGTATGCCCGTGTGCAAGCGAGTAGGTGCCTTCGTCATTTAGGCTTTAACACAAGGCCTGTATGGCGTCAAACAGTTAGATTCGCGAGAGTGCTCAGTATTAATCACAACATCAGGAATAATAGATAACACTGTAGATACATGTTTTGAATATCACCTTTAATGAATAAAAACTTTCTGCTGAGTAGAGTTTCCCAATCCAAGCGTAATTCAGCCGGTTTGCTCCGACTTGTGACATTATGCTGTGACATCTGAATCAAATGACGTCTCGCCATCGGCGAGACTCTGTTATTCCATCACCAATTCCATGCTTTTACGATGCAGTAACGGGTGTCTTATAGCAAAATTACTGTACAGCTGCAAATATAGCAAACCAAAGACGTTCGGGGGTGTGATGGTGAAGTAAGTAACAAAGAAATCGGCTATGAACTCAATGTCGAGCTCGAATCCGCTAGAATCAAAGGGACAATCTTTGTCTTAATCGAGAATTGAGTAAAAAATTAACCCTATGTTGCTTCGGCGCAACTAGTCGAGAAAAGGGTAGTAATCAGTGACTTGAGAATGATAGGAACAGCAAGGAATCCTGCTGGTCATGCCAGAATATAGGTGTATGGCGATGATGTCCGGTGCAAGCGCCCTCGGTGGCTGTATTTCGCATTCACCCATTATCTGGTGTAAGAGTCAGTACAAGGTGTAACCCCGATTTCGATCAACAGATAAAGATAGCGCTAGGAGGCAACTTCGAAATTAGATCGACCAATTGACTGAGTGAATGAGAAATGGCGAAGTGTCATTCATGACAAGATCGGTAAAGCGACGTGTGCGCATTTCAGGGAACAAGAAAGAAATAGGCACAGAGCAGATCACATGGATTAAATCAGTAGATCGCATTAGAAAACTGAGATAAATTAGGACGGTATCTTGCTTGATTTGGTACAACGGCCCAATACGAGAAATGAAATATAATCAAAACTTTTTTCTTTTGGGAACGGGGCATTGGCCGGAGACGCGTGGTAGGACAACACCAAACACGTAGAAAAGCCAAGTTGTGCAGATCTGCCTGCAGAGATGCATATGACCTTTGCCACAGCAGTAAATTTTACATGATATTAATCTGAAGTATCATTTCTAACGGTCAGACATAAATCTGGGTTACTCTGCTGTCTCAGCGTTTTCAACTTCAGATGACGACGACAAAAACGGCAGCAGCATCCACAATTACCATCAGCGTGCAGATCATCCGCTGGACAGAAAGATCTGCTATTCGCTGAATATGCCTTGATGTCTCTTTTATGTCCATCGCGCTTTCTGCGGGAATAGATACGAGCGGTACCTTCCTCCAGGACCATTGTGTAATACCGATCCTGCTCCATAACAGGCACGGCTCATTTTTGTTTTATACATAGTAACACAACGTAGTTAAGCAGCTGGCAAAAAAAGGATATGGATAAGTTTCACATAGATTGGTGCTAAAGAATTAATTAGCTTATTTTGAAAAACAGTGTGGTGGATGGAGGTGAGGTATAGGCAAAATACTCATATGAAACGGTAACCCATGCCTATATTTTTGGATGCATAATGAATAACGGACCTAATCAGGAGTCCAGTGGTTCAGTACGCCAAAAAATCAAACTAAAGGAACGATCCTCGATTCAACGCAATGCAGAACTAAAAGCACTTGAAATCTATTGGATAAACCGCAACGGATATGCTGCTTTTCAATCCTGAAGGATTCGAATTTTAATATACAAGCATGATGCGCAAAACTTGCCAAGAATAGTAATCACATAATCATTTGAGTTGATAATATATTTCAGAGAATATCGCATAAAACGAATATGCATCCAGTTTTAGAGCGGCATAATCAAAGTTATTCGTACCAGGAACCGACGATATCCTAATGTTGTTAAATTGTCTGACTTTCTCCATCAAAAATGTGACTTTCTGTACATTCGTCGGATACTGAATTTTCAACTGATAATGAATTATCAAGCAATACATCCTAAACTCAACAACAACTAAACCAGTTAAAATACGGATTTAAAATCACATCACTATTGTTCTTTAAAGAGAGCCACATATTACAATCCCATTTGGAATGATGATCAGCTTCACAGTTACTGATCGAGCTTAATACAGTTTTAAACAAGTGCAAAAAATTCTGTCTCGAAAAAGTGTCATAACCTTACTTACCAAGTGTCCACGGTAATCGTAAAGTGGGCATAAAGCACTGATAGGCTTCAGATCTAAGTGAATCTGTTTAGCGATAACCATTAACGGGTTTCCAACTAAAAAAGCGAGTCACTCGTTAAGGAAAAAGATAAAAATAGCATATCGATACCTGCTCCGGTGACGACCATTGCACCGAGATCAGCGATCATTCCGTCGTTCATGTATGTAGAGATTCGGCCTCCGGGTCGATTCTGAAATTACAGAAAAGTAAACATGGTGAGGAGGAAGAAGTCTGACTCGTCAGAAGTAAACTGAAGTGAGAAAACGTTCATAAATTCTACAGTAAAGCAGAATGGCACGGTTGATCAGACATAGTGAAGAAACAGCCTAGCCTCCTAGTTGTCTAATCCTGTACAGCAAACCGGAATGAGAAAAGAACACAAAAAACTTCTCTGCCTTAAAGGTTGGTCCTTGTCGCCTAAAGACCAAATTTTTTACTGCTCATCAACAACAAAAACGGCCTACTAGCAGCTATCGAAAAACGTGTCATTCGCCTTCGAAACGATCAAGAATAAAGCAGCAATAATTCATGAGTGGGTTCTCTTTTAAGGTTTGTAGCCAACACAGTAACTAACAGTCCAGCCTGTTGAAAGAGAAGAATTTGTAAGTGTTGAAAATAAGCTAAAGCATAAGAAACTTATCCTTCATCCTGCTGAGAAATGCCAAGCCAACCAACATGCATTAGAGGGAGGTTACTGAGAAACTTGTAGTAGTACTAACTAAGTAGTAACGTAGTGACGAATTTAATGGAATGCACAAATAAACAAAGAAGTTTAAATGACTGCCAATAACGCAAATAATATGACTATACACAAAATTTCAAAGATTAAGATTTTAACATGAACAACAATGATACCGAAATGAAATGGTGAAAAGTTACAGTGTTAATAAAAAAAATGTTTTTCTTACTTTACACCAATACTGCGGTAGTGTAAGAGAGATGGAAGTCTTACCGCAGTACTGCACTGCCACCTTGCTTCTAATCGCCTTGGGGCCATTTAGTAGGCCACGGTTTCATTACAATAAGCGCCTGCAGTGCTTAGGACGCATGGTCGCATCTCTTAGTGAGGCTCAATAAGGGCATGTTCAAGTCTAAACCCGTTAGCCACTGCCCGTAGGCAAATAATGAGAATAAAACAATCCCGGTGTTCTGGAGCTTTCGATACCGTCGTTGCATAAATGACATTAACAGTAATGACACCAGAATGACGACTGGAAGCAAGAGGCGGTGCAATTGCGCGGTAAGGCTTCCATCTATCATACACTACCGCAGAGTCGTGTAAAATAAAAAATACGGTTTTCTTTACATAAAATCTGGTCTTGGAAGAACCAATGGTTGTTCTACAAATTTTGATAAATCCGTAAATAGTCTACTAGGCAAAGGATCAGCAGTATTAATTTTAACATGATTAGCACTCCATTAATTCATGGTACATTAAAAAAATCATGAAATTTCCTTTATGAAAGGCATGAGCGCAATCTTCGGGGGAGAACCAATCTAGCCATTTCTATTTTGTCTGGCATTGAATCCGCTCAGTTACTTGCCGAGTAACAGCACGAGCGTATAAATTGAAAGACGGCTGTGTATCACCACGTACCTATTGTATATGGGCGACCTGCAGTTGCATGTGAGATCAGTGAAAGAGCTAAATTATCTTGTCCAATGCGCGCGAATCCTGTCGGAAGATAAAAGGATGGAAAATCGATTTAAATAAGTATACTATGGTCGAAATTAAGAAGAGAAAGTTCTGGAAAAGCGGTTGGTGAAATAAACAGCTAGAAGTACGACAGTCCTACAAATACCTCAGCGTGAAATAAATACACATGAATACAATATACTGCATAAAAAATGAAATTAAGGATGAAGACGGAATATGAGAAAAGAATTCGCTGAAGAACAAAATGTGACCATTAACCAGTATGCGGTATAATAATACTTACACATCGTGGAGTGGACGCAAGCTGAAAGGACAGAACTGGACAGAATGACAAGAAAGACTTTCAACACTTAAGCAATGATACATCAAAAAAGCAGATATGGCAGATACATATTCCGCCCAGAGCAGGAGGAAAAAAGCATCGCGGCACATCAGAGATGCGCTGCAACTAAAACGTCATCCTGAAGGCAATATATATCAAAGACAGTGAACTATAGGGTGCTGAAGGCTGTAAAGGTAAAGGTCCTACGCAAACTAGAACAGTAAACAGCTGCAAATGCAGAAAATCGTCAAGAAAATGTAAAGACTGTCTGATACAATAGATGAAAAAAAAAGACCTCCATAGACAAAATTTTCGTCAACTCCGTGAAGACATAGACATCCATCAGACTTTCAAGTGGCTAAACGTGGACTCCATGGCAAAATGGAAGCTCTTGTGATGGCTTGTCCAAGACCAAGCACTGAACAGAAACTCATACAAAACAAAAATCCTAAGCACGCAGCCAGAAGCAAAGTGCAGAATGTGAGGTAAAAGATAAGGCCGTGATCCGTGTAATTTCTGACTGCGAAACACTCGTGAATCGCGAATGTGAGGAAAGGCACAAAAATGTGGTAAGGACAGTCCAATGGTATTTGTACACGCGAGCAGACATATCTGTGGCGTTGGAAACCAACGGAAAGCGGTGAAAAATTGCAGCGAAAACATTCTCGAACTTCCCAATACGAACTGAGAAAGAAATAGCATTTCACTATTCGGATATCCTGTTGGTAGACAAAACGAAAAAAGGCGGGCGCAAATCATTGATATAGCATGCCTGGCTAGAGGGGAGAAAAAAGTTGTTGTTAAGGGGAGAAAAAAGATACTGAAATATCAAGAATTGAGAACAGATGTACAAAAGACATGGAGAGTAAAGCGGACGCCATTTGTGTGATGATCACTGCCCTCGGAGCTGTGAAAAGAAACCATCAACGCCTACGAACGTCCATTGATGAAGCGATCAAGGTGAA